TAAAGTTTGGAGAGAGAAGATATAGCATTTGTCTAACCTGCGCTATTTTAAAATCTATCCTCCAATCTCTATAAATCTGGTATTTGGAAATGCTAATTTCTGTAGATTTAAAGTTTGGAGAGAGAAGATATAGCATTTGTCTAACCTGCGCTATTTAAAAATCTATCCTCCAATCTCTATAAATCTGGTATTTGGAAATGCCATGTGGTAATAATGACAATGTTTATCATATAACTTGATTTGCTAGAAATTTTTCCCTTATATCAATCGCAAACTTAACTTCCTCCTAAACTGTACTCATTAGTCCCAGTTCTACCCTTTATATCTATGTTGCACACAGTAGATCTAATTTGAAGATAATTCTCACGTCCTCCCTATCATTTCTCTTCTCCAGCCCCAGAACACTCAATTTCTTTCAAAATTCCTGACTAGTCATACAGATCCTTCACTATTCTAGTTGATGCCTACCTCTTAATGCTCCTGCTTTTGTTTTTGTTTTTATTTTTATTTTGGTGGCAGGTTCTGAATCAGGATCTGAACCCTTGTCTTTAGTACAGGATCTGAACACTTGACCTTGGTGTTACAAGGCTGCACTCTAACCAACTGAGCTAACTGTCCAGCCCCTTAACCTGGTTTTTAATATAAGAGTTTGTCCAATGTACCTTTTGAAGTGGGCCCCCAGAACTGAACAGATGTAGACAGTCTGGCCATTTCAAAATTCAGAAGGACTGTGATCGCCCTTGTTCTGGACAGTCTGTTTCTAAAAGCACAATTCAACATTCCCCTATCATTATATAGACCCATCCTGAGCTGACAGCACATACCTTTCCTACTTTGTTCTGCTCAGCCCATTCTCCCCTCCCCAACTGTGTGCTTGTGCACTTGTTCCAGTGAAGCTAAAATCAAAACTTCATAAGCAGCCCTGTTAGATTTCATGTTATGTTCAGGTGAGGGCTCTAGACAAGATCAGAGACAAACCTCCCATATTGCTAAGCAGCTCCCCTTCCCCCATCACCCACCCACTTCCTGCCCTCTCACTACTGCTTAGAACATTCGGGGAGAAAAAACAAATGTTACTCCAGTACTTCCACTATCTCTCTAGAACTGCTGAATACAGCCACCAATTAGGAAAATCTATTGTCTTTAGTCTTTGACTCCTTTAAACATTCTTCTTGGTTGACCAATGTCATTTACCTATGGAACACCCCTCCCTTCACTTTTGAGAAGTCAAAACCTATATTCAACTTATCACACACACTCAATTTTGTTTTAAACGACGTCAAAAAATGCTGCACCCCTCTGAAGATTTTACAGTGCTAAAGTCAAATCCCTATAAAAAAAATATTTATATGAAGCCTTTTGTGGATTCCCATAGGTCCTGGTCAGTTTCCTCAGCCGGCTCACCACTCCAGCTGAGAGCAGTAAAGGAGAGCATGGCCAGGTCAGGTGGCAAGAATACTAATCAGAGCATTTTCCATCTTTGAAAGGGAAACTCACAGAACCAACCCACATTCACAACAATAAAAATAATGTCTCTTCCCTGCTGCCTTCAACAAAATCCTAAATTCAAACTTGGCAAGTATATTATGTTCTTTAATGTTTTAACAAGAAAAAGAAGATACTAAAATGATCTCAAAATGTAGAATATAAGCTCATCTCTCAAGAAAAATGCAGAGCAGTTTGTTCCAGAAGGGTAATTTCCCTCCTCAGATTTTTATAACGTTGCTCTGAATTTAAACTTTGTCTTTTAAAGCATAAAATTCTTAAAAGGCCGAGTTCAAGTTGGTTACTTGAAGGCAAAACAAAATAATTATCTGATTAATTCAATTAGCTAGTCTCCATAATTAAGATTCCTATACTTTTTCGGGTAGTTTCTAAAAAGTCATTATTTACATAATTTCCACAACTTTCCATTCCATTTTAGTGGAGAAATGTGTTATTTTGAAAAGAACTTTATGGATGCAATATCAAAGATTTTCCATACACAGCTTTGGGGGAGGGGAGAACTTTTACCACTGCCTTTTAATTTTTCCCCACTGTAAGGGTTGTGCTTAAATAGCCTGTTAAACTTTTTACTATATGTAAGAAGGGCACTGGATGAATGATTGTTTCCACATTGCAACAAAAAGTCATTTGTAAATCTAAGCCATTAACAAGAAAAACTAAGTCAACAATAAGCAAATGAATCATGTTAAAAGAGTCAAAATGATCTTTCTCTTGCATAATTACCAATGTGTTGATCCAATCCTACCCTTTTGAAAGAGGGAAGTCAATATTGTGAAACAATGATGGGGGCCACTGATTTCATCAGTTATTAAAACTTTTAGTATAAACCTTAATTTTGGCTGTCCAAGCTGAAACCTAATACAAGTTTACTTGGACAATTCACTTTCCTTCATTTGTACAATGGAAAATAATTTAAAACCTTGGGCATAAAAATTGTTCTTATTATTAAAAAAAGAAGGAAAAAGAAAACCTAGTAAATGCCTAAAATAAAAAGGATTACTGTGCAGATGTAAACCTTATTAACTGTTCCCTGGTATCATGCTTACTTATGTAAAATTTTTTATTGACACCATAATTCTAGCATTTCATTATTTGTTGCCAATATGTACAAACATTACAAACAAGAAAATAAGAAATTCATTTTAGAGTTGTAACTAATAATATGAAACACCAGCATTTATTAAAAACAGTTGTGGCATCTCTAAATTGTTTTATAACTCCAACTTTAGAAAGAGAGACAAACCAAGTGCAGCATTTTCTATCCTTGTGAGCTGTGCTGATTTTCAGCTTGTATGTTTATTTAAAATTGGGGGAAAAAAGATAAACACAGGACTTTATAAACCTCCAGGGATAAACACCATAATTTACAACAGTTAGGCAAAAGGCACAAAGTGGGAAAGACTGAGAAGCAGATGGAGGAAAATGAGACCTGCCTAATGTAATTTTTCAAGCAAACGAGAAGATAAAGCTATCTAGGAAACATCTTTAGCATTACTTTTATGTGCTCTATTTATTAAACTGGCCCAACTTTTTTTTCCCATTCAATAAACTGACCCAAACTTTTATGGCTTAGAGACTCTTAAAACACCACTATACAGTAAATACACACACACTCACACATACATACATGAACATCCACCTGTCACATGGAATTTTTTGGTCCATTTCCACTTACCTGAACTGTACTGCCAGAGATTTTCTAAAGTAAAAGATCAGTATTATATCAAGGTAAAATAATTGAAACTAAGTGTGGGACCTCATTTAAAGTCCACTTCTGGAATCTAGCTCCACAAGATTTAATTCTACAGAGATACCACTATGATATGATATCAGATATTTGGGTTTTAAGTCTCTACTTCAGAAGTCTTTTCCTGATACTATAATATATGGTGATAAATATCTCCTTAATTTGCATGACAGTTTTCAATTGCCCTCATAGCAGACCACCTTGAAGGAGTGAGTAAAAGGTTTAGTCATGGTTTCTATTTTTCTATTTGAATTCAATACATCCTAGTTAAATGGACAATTAATAGGTCACTTCCAAAATAGTAGTGTATCAGTCCTGGTTAATAAACAATCCCCACAGTTGATAATGGGCCCTATGTATTCAGCAAGTCCCTGTACACACTCAGCTCATCCACTAAATCCCTTTTCAGGTGGACAGGGTTATATGGGAAGATGAGCTAGAATGAGTCTATAAAAGTCAGCTTCATTCACTGCTTTATTTTTCAGTCAAGTGCTTTAAATGGTGTCCAGAAATTCGCTCGGAATGTGAGACAGGAGAAAAGACTGACACACAGAGCTTTGCTTTATGGCCATACAAAAGGGCAACTGACCCTTGCCCAAGCCTTTTCCATGTGAAATGGTTCCTAAAGTTCATCTGCAGAGTGAAAAATCGTGGTGAGGTCGCGTGTGGATGAGCCAAGTGAAAGTGACGATTGGTCATGGGTCTTTTACCCATTGTGGTTGGGTCCCAGCCATGTAAAGTGCTCTGTGGGAAAGTATCGGCCCCCTAAAGAGATGCTCAGAAGCTTGCAGCTCATTAAATGGCCAGCATTTGCTGCCTCACTTGTCAGGCATCGTTCTGCTGAGCAACTGCTCTCCTGAAACATTCATAAAACACATGCACAGAGGCAGCAGGGATCTGAATTCAACCATGATAGAGCTGTGTGCTTCAGCCAGAATCAACACTTAGTTCCCTTTCACCTGACAGAGCTGTTAACCTGAATAAATGTTTTCTCTTGAGCAACTGAAATGAATGCACCCCTCCACTGGACTACTTCATCATAAACTCAAATTCTCTGCCTACAGATTCTTACCTGACCTAGAAATCTTCAAGCTCAAGGTGAACTTGACTTTTAGTTAGACATTTTTCTTTGCATGTGCGAGTGTTTGTGCCTTTGGAAGTCTGTCATTCCCACTCCATCCCCAGACACTATTTTAAATTTTGCTTTTATAATGTTTGGAGAAGAGTTCTCTCAAAAATATTTCCTACGGCTCTGGTCAGTTTTACTCAAGATGGTAAACAGGAGGTATTTATCTCCTTTATGATCTTGACTATTTTAAATTATTCTCTATAGACACCTACCTAATGATTTTCTGTGTCACATTTTAAGCTGAATAGAAATTTTACACATCACAATTTCTTTGCCTTCCCATTGCTTTCTTTTCTCTTCTTTAAAGGAATGTTGCCACACATTTCAGAAAGAGCCAAACTGGTCCCTCTGAGATCTTTTATATCAAACGGAAAACAAGTCGCTCTCCTTGGTGTGTCAGCCCTGGGTTTCAATGCCATTAGAAACCGCTCACAATTGCTCAGTGTGCTGAGGTTTGATAAATCTCTGGAAGCCTCCTGAATAGGATCGCTGTGATTTTTTAGTGAGGAATTAGCTCCTTGCCATTGCATTACCAATTAGTTTTCCAGAGCACATTAAATCCTGCTGCTTTGGTTTACAGAATAACTGAGGCATTGCTGATGAAGCATAAAAACTTACTTGGAAAAGCAGTGGGGGATGCAGGGCGCCGACAGGACCCACCGCAGCATGCTGAGTAGAATGGCGGGGCGCTCAGAAAAAAAGGTTTGGGAGGCACTGCAGAGAAAGCATTGATCTCATTGATTAGCCATTTCTTTTAGACAATATTCAAAACTCCAGTTTCCTAAAAGTCACCAAGTAGAAGCACTTCATTTTCTGAGCCCTTACTTAGTTATAACTTGTACTGAAATTAAAGTCATTTTAAAGTAGCCTTCATCTGTCAAAGAGTTTGCCAAATAATTTCATCAAGACTTGGCAGAAGTGGGGAAAAGATTCAAGCTATTAAATACCAAGCTTAATAGGTCATTTTCTGTGTGGTCATAATTACAAATAGTAAATATCAAGTATTTCCTTAACCCTAGAGTAATACCATCCAAGAAATCCATCTGTGATGGAAATATCTATGCCTGCTCTGTCCAGTATGGTGTCCACATGTCACTACTGAGCACTTGAAATGTGGCTAGTATGAATGGTTAAGAGAATTTTTAATCTAACTTAATTTAAATAGACTCAAGTGGCTAGGGATTATGATATTAAATAGCACAGCCCTAGATATTCTACTTACCAAGAAACAATTTAAATGTTATGTACTTAAGTTTAATTTTTAAAGAGATTATATCACTGCATTATTTTCAGAAGGTTATTTGAAATATAGTTAATCGGATTCCAAAGCTGTTATTAGTTAATTTACTGAGAAATTCCATAACAAAAAAGTGGTATTTTTTAAATCACATTTAAGTGTTTCAAAGTATTTGAGAATAATCTCATTTTATCAAGAGAAATCTAGTTAGCCTGAAAGCATTTGTATTTTATAGTATAGTGAGTTGCCATATAATTCTGTTCTGCTCATTTTACTGTACTCTACTCTTTATAAAATTTTCAAGGGATATGCATGGAATAGCTATGATTACTTGTATAGCAAAGGTATGAAAAGGCGCCCCATTTTGGTGTCCAAAAAGTTCTATAAGAATTTTTTTTGAAATTTTATTATTATCATAAGTTGTTCTAATAGTTTGACTATAAAACCATCATAGCAACGATAAATCATTTCATTTGAATTGAACATTTTAAGTGAAATTTTAAACTCCATTCCTCAGTAAGTAAAAAATAGCTATGAAGAATGTCATTGAAAGTGAATAATAACTCCTTTATTGAGCACTTACTACAGGCCAGGCTTTGGTTAAGTGCCTTAACTACACCATGTCCTTTAATAAGATACAAATAAATGCAGGTTCAGATTCCCTGAAAGTGAGTACTTGCTTTTACCATGACATACCCTGCAGAGTGCCTAGCACATTCTAAATAGTAAAGTTTTAGTTTTGAAGATCATTTGTTCAGTTACTAACAGATAGGAACTTCCCTGGTTTTCACAGGGGAAAAAATTAGGATCAAGAATTAATTCTTCCTCTTACACATACAAGGGTACATCAAAAAGTTCATGGAAAGATTTGTATTATCTTTTAATTCCCTTTCTCCATGAACTCTTTGAAGTACCCTCATATAAGTGAACTGAGACTAGGAGGGGTTGAATCAATTGAGCAGGGTGAGATAGCTCATTAGCAGCAGAACATCCAGGAATCACAAGCAGCCATGTTCGGCTACAGAGCGTACTTACGCTCTGAAATCTTTGTGATACTCATCTTCAGGACTACTTTGTGTATTCAATTCTTACAGCTTTTCTCAACCTGTGGATTAGTTTTCTTTTAATTTCCACCACTCCACCACTACCACCATCACACACGCCTCCTATTTATTTCTGAGTTCCCAGCTTTGGTGTGGATTCTGGAATGACAGGTAGGCCTCAAACTTTAATGTGAATTAGAATCAAGTGGAAAGTTTGTTAAAACACACGTTGCTACTTCAGTAGGTCTTGGATGCAGCCCCAAGAATTTCTATTTCTAAGGGTTCCCTGGTGATGCTAATGCTGCTGGTCCAGGGACCAGAACCATGCTTTAAGAATCAGTGGACTAGATTAACTCTAATGGATCTTATTATGTTACCTATCTTTGTTATAAGTTTCCTCAAATCATTTATATAAATAGAAAAGTTATATATAAATAAAAACAGGAAAGAAGGGAGAGAGAAATAATGATATATAAACTACATTAATTAGAATTGATATCAAAACTTCAAGTAAGAAGTGATTTTCTACTGCAAACCCTTCCCAGTAGGTAGGTGGACGTCAGCATTTTTTTCTCTACAAAGCTAAAATTAAAATTAGACTTGATGTGTGAAGGCAGGCAATGCAAATATTCTAAATGTTAAAGGAACTTACATTACAACATTGTTTAAGAAATAAATGAGCAATGACAAACAATTTTAAAGTCTTCTATGCTGTGTATTTCTTAAGTTACTTAAAACATATCAAGATATATTTAATTCTTCCATGAAATTATAATCACAGTATTTGAAACAATAAAAGCAAGGGAATTTTGTTGAACTTAAAACTATATATAACCCCTTCCCTGCTCTCCGACATACCCTAAAATATATCTTCCACAACATATTACCTTAAAAACTAAAACATGACTTGAAAATAAATATTTTAATTATTCTCTTCATATTCAAGTGGCAGCTTTTTTCCATTCCTTAATCACATTCAGTGAATATTGTTTTTTTTTTGTTTTTGTTATTCATTTATTTAAAGAATGGCCCATTTAAGCTGCCAATTGTTCTTTTTTCCATTCCTTAATCACATTCAGTGAATATTGTTTTTTTTTTGTTTTTGTTATTCATTTATTTAAAGAATGGCCCATTTAAGCTGCCAATTGTTTTTGTTTGTTTGTTTGTTTGTTTTCGTTAAATTTTTATTTTGTCAATATACAATGTATATGATTATTATGGCCCATATTAATATGACTACATACCTTTTTGAAGGACACAGCAATTTCAAATTTGTATTTTAATCAACTGATAAGCATGTGTTTATTTTAACCAATTTCTTTGAAGGATGTATCAAAATAAATGTATTGCTCAGTAAGAATTTTATAACATTGCAGGGTCTTGAATACTTTAAAATTGCAAATTAATCATAAATGAAGTTTTCTTCCTATAATATAATGGAAACTTGTTAATATTAATGTCTTTAGTTTTTTAATATCTGGATTTTCAAAGAATAAAGTTTGTTTTAACACTGTTTTGAAAATATGACAACTAAGCAAAGGTATCAAAAGGAGACCCATTTTGGTGTTCAAAAAGTTCTATAATTTTTTAAAGTTTCATTGTTATCATAATTTGTTCTATTATTGACTATAAAACCATCATGGAAATGATAAATCATTTCATTTGAATTTTACATCTTAAATTATATTTTAAGAGTATGGAATTATTTAGGCAGATTTACATTTTTATTATTACTATGGATATATGAAGTATTTTGAAAAATGGGAATAGATTGCTAAAGTATAAAAGGTGCCTCCTTATGTTTATTCTCAAGCATTTCTGTTAGTTAACTTACTTCCCCTCCAAAATAAATACTGTATAGATAATTGAATCACAGCTATTGTGCTGTTTGTTTTTTGTTTGTTTGTTTGTTTGTTTTGAGGTAGAAGAAGAAAAAAACAAAGATTTAGCGATGTTGTATTTACATACATTAAATTAAACATATACCATGTTAGCTGGAAACATCCAAAAAAAGGTGGTTTTTTTGTTTGTTTTGGTTTTCTTTGCTCAATAGAGAGTATAAGCTCATATACTAATGATACCATTAAATTAATAATGCAGGGTGTACATATAAATTACAAATTTTCCTATTCTAGCAAAAACATTTCTTAGTCTAACTCTATGGGCCTAAAAACAGAAAAATAAAGGATAAAAAAATGGATGGTTTATTTTATAGAAGTGATCAATTAAATTCATTAGTGGTAATGTGGTTTGGAGATATCTGATCTTAATGATAAATTTAACCTGAAAAACAGCTTTAATTGATCATTCTGCTATATTGCTATATATTACCCTATCATAATATAGGAAAGCCATAATCAATGTAACAGTACCAAAATCTGTAATTACAAAAAAAAAAAAAGTAATTGAAATCTACAGTAACAACTCTAGTTTCAGCTAATGAATTGGTTTTCACATTTTGTGACATGACCAGGCTTGAAGTTCTATTGTGTAGAATTTCTTCACTATTTTAAATCACCTCTTTAAAACACATATTTACACAAGGAGATTAGTCAATTCCTGATTGCTATGCACAAATACACCTTGTTTAAGCTGGTTTATGTGGAAATTGCTGTGAAATTCCAATTAAGTGCTCTGTTTTTTTGGTTTTTTTTTTTTTACATGCTCCTACTTTGATATATGTCAAATGCTAATCCAGCAGAACATGTGATTGCAGGCATGCTGAATGGCCTTAGGAAATAACCATTTAAAACAATAAAATGAATTTAAAATATATATGTTACACTCTTAACATCTGTAAACCACATACTTTTTTTTTAAGTAATAAGCAAAATAGGAAATCCAACTCGTTGAAAACAAAGTGACAAGTTGACAGATGTGTTAAAACTTTTATAAGCCCTGAAAAACTTTGAGGATCCTCTGGAAAATGGCAGAAAACAAGGCAATTTCATCCTAGATAATATGCATTTCAAACCCCATTAATGCAACAAGATGCAATTACTTTATCATTTATCATGGTAGGAACAATTCATGGTAGGCTTACTGAACAATATTTATAATGATAACATTTATGGAGTGCTTACTATATCATATGGCAGGCACTTGACTGGCTACAAATTTAACACACACTAACTCATTCACTTATTAACATTCAACCTCAATTGGGCATGCATCCAGAATGTGATTATGACTACTTTCAGCAAATTTTTTAAAAAGGACAAGAGGAACAACATTCGCAACAACATGGATGGACTTAGAGAAAATTATATTAAGTGAAACAAGTCAGGCACAGAAAGAGAAATATCACGTTCTCACTTATTTGTGGGAGCTATAAATAAATAAACACAAACAAATAAAGGTGAGGGGGGAGAGAAGACACAACAATCGCAAAAATTCCTTAAACTGTTTTAAGTCAAGTGAACAGATATGATGTGGGGGGGAGGGAAGGAGGTGGAGAGGAACTGGTAAAGGGGCATGAAAATCAACTACAATGTATATTGAGAAGTAGAATAAAATTTTAAAAACAAAACAAAAAAGGACAAGAGGAACAAAAAAGATTTTAGAATAATAACTAGTTATTAGCCATGAAGGATAGAGATTTCATGATAGAGATTTCACGCACAGAGACTTTGCCAGTTATTCAATATGAGCTGGAGCCTGGAAAATGAACATCTCTCCCAAAATTTCCACAAGAGAAAAACAAATGGCCTTTCCTATGGGAAAAAAATGCACATGGTCAGATTCTACAGCATGATATTAGTTAGGTTCTATTAGTACATTTCAGGATGCTTCAAATTTTATATCCCACAAACAAATTTAACTTTCAGATTCTGTAGTAAACTGTTACAAGTTACAAACAAAATGACTTAAAATTTTTGGAACTAAACTGGGGCCTGTCTGATTGCAAATGACTAAAATCACATATTCATAGAAAACTTCATGAACTTTCCACACTTCTTAGTCAGATGTTCTTACTTACTTGAAGATACAGATTCAAAATATTCTTTAGTTATTTTAAATATTTAGTTAAGATGGGAATTTACAGCCAACTTAATGGTGAACTTGCTTGATTTTTTTTAACTTACTAACTGGATGGTTCTGTGATACAAGTATCCCACAGCCAAGGATGGTTACAAACCTAGCTGCACAGAAATGGTTTTCAAAATTCTGTTGTCTAGAAAACAATAATATTTCAATTGCTTTTTGTTCTTGTCATTCTACTTTACTAATGGAAAAAAACAACAGGAATCTAAACAGTGTAAAACCACATTCTTTTTTATTATCAGTGCAAAATCAGTGGTACTGACTGACTTCAGCTGACATTTCAAAGAACCCTAAAGACCACTAATAAAACCTTCAGATAAATTTCAGGAGCCCACTGCAATGCTGTGTAGATTGGGCAGCATATTTTAAGAAGAAAGAGGAGAAATCAGAGAAAGTTGCAAGATATTTTACCAAGGAAACCAAAGGGTTTACTAGGAAAGAATAACAGGAAAATTAATTTCAGAAGATGGTTTTAATGATGTCCTTCAAGAGCCAGGTACATGAGCACTGGGAATAAAGAAATCTAAATTTCTGATCTGAAAATAATACACAATTGAACAGACTCTCTGGAGTAGGGTGGACTCAAAAACAAGACTTTAAAGAACGGCAAACGTCTGTCTTTAGTAATTAGACCTAAGAAATATCACTTATCTAATGAGGTTAAATTTATTTTCTCACACAGTCAATCTGGAAATAATTCATTTATGTGATCCAATTGCAAACCTTGCCTTCAATCACCAGGGAAAGCAAGTTAGATAAAATTCATCTTTTACCTTTCATCAGAAAACAATGGAAGTCAGCATTTTCTGCCTCAAACATATTTTAGTGACAGAAAAACAAAGACCTTAACGTTCTGGCACAGCTCTCAAGAAGATAAATCAAATACAGTGTCTACTTGTTTGATTCTGTCCTTTTAATTCAGGGCAAATAATACATACTGCCCACCTACCAAGTACCAACCATTGTACTGTGT